ATATAAATAAGTGAGTTAAATGCATGAGAGGCCCTTAAACTTGTCACGTGGTGTCACTTAGCTCCATAAACTTGAAAAATGCATTTCTATGTACCTAAACTAATCAAATAATACACCGTAGGTCATACTTGCCACGTAGGTATTTTATCTGACGTGGCCCACATGGCGGGAAAGATATGCACTGACCTCGCTAAAACCCCATCCCCTCAACTTGCAATCCTGCACCCTTGCACTGCCTGTCGTCCCTCCTTCCCGGCGTCCGTCGCGGAGTCACGGGGCGGCTATGCACCTTGAACGGCCGTCGGTGGGGAAGTTGACTTGCGCGTGGCCGCAGATGAGGGAGTAGAGGGTGGCGTAGGCGAACGCGGTCGTAGGCGTCGACTTGCACCTGCGTGTCTCAGGCGCGCGCCGCGGTGTCGCGGTGTGCACGGTGGTAGAGATGGCCACAGCAAGCGCGGCGTGCCACATGGACCGCGTGTACGAGCCCCTCCGCCTCAGCAGTCAGAGCAGTGGTGTGGCAGACGACTATGGCAGGCCGGCGAGCGGCGCAGAGCTGGCTCGGACACGCGGCTGGCCGTGACACTGCCGGAGCCACACGGGCAGATGAAGCGTGGCGGTGGTGGCATGCGACGGCTGCTAGCTAGAGCGGCGCCGCTGCGAACTAGGGCGAGCAGAAGCATCACTGATGTCGGCCGCGTGTAGGAAGCGGTCATTGTAGCCGGTGCAGTGCATGAGGATGTCCATGTCCGCTCTGATGACGCGGCGGCCCTCACGAACACTTCAGACACCGCGGTGGCCGCGCCGAGCGCGGACGCGGATAACAGGAAAGACGCTCTCAGCGCCGCGCGTTCCTCGCTGTATGCTAGGGATCGGTGGCGCAGGCGAGGCTCGCCACCTGTTCGACGCATTGCCAGTGAGGAGGAGCACACATCGGATGTCACCCACTGACCCCGACGCAGCTGGGGCCGCGTTCGCGCGCCGCGCATGGTGGCGGCCTGGGCACTTCCGGACGCTGTGACGTGGACCACGCTGCATGCGCTTTTTGAAGGGCGTCGTCCATGGTTACCTGTTCGTCATCAACTCATTGGTGTGCATGTACGGCAAGCTGGAGACATGGAGGAGGCCCATAGTTTAAAATAGCGGCAACTTTTTTTAAGCAGCTATGAAGCTATACCGACGCTACGACAGATAGTGTTTTTATAAATATGTTTTTAAGATTTCACACGTCTAGCTAATATTAACAATACGACATTACAATATGGTTCGTGAAACTCCAGTGTTTAATTGTTCAAAATACCAAATTAGTAGCAAATTATAAGTAGGAAATATCTAATTAAATTAGTAAGCAAATGATAAGTAAGCAAATATGAAATAGTGACACTATTTTAACGCTAAAGCTATGCAACTTAGCGGCGCTATAGCTCGCAACAGCAGTCAAAGTTCGCATAGCGGCACAAAGAGCAATTGCGTAGTGTCAAGTCTCTCTGGCCGCTATAGTGCCGCTATAGCCCACTATTTTTTTCTATGAGGACGAGAAGGTTGTTTGGGATGCCGGGGCAAAAAACCCCTCTTCGTCTTCTGAGCACATAGGGCTGGCGGGAGAGCGGACCGAGCTTGCATGGCGGCGAGTAAGCGGGATAGGGACATTCAGTAGGCGAGCGTCCCGCTGGTGAGCACAGCGAGCATGCGGTCCCCTCTTCACCTTAGCGCACGGTTAGTGGCGAGCTGTGTGCCGAGGCAGACCCCTCTCGTCATGCTCCTCCACGCGACCACGCGTGCGCCAGCGCTGCACACCCCGCCCTAGACAGACTCCGTGACACCACGCGCTCATCGGCCCAGCTCGTCGGATCCCTAGGCCCTCACCACCATGCGCCGTCAAGCTCGCCTCTGCGCGCGCTCATTGGCTCACCATCCACAGCCATGCCCCAGCCCCCTAGGTCCTAGCTCACCGCCTCCGCTCGCCAGACCTGCGTCGCTGTGCGCCCCGCACCAGCTCGCTTACACGGCTCCACGCGCATCGGCCTCGTAGGTTGCTCGATATGCCCGGACGTGCGCTCAAGCTCGCCTACGCGTGCTTGCACGCCACCCTGCTCTGCCCCGCCGCGCGCTCAAGCTCGCCTCCACGCGCCTGCACGCCACCTTGCCACGCCCTACGTGGCAACGATGGTGCCCTGCGTCTCGCCTCCCCACACCGCCTCAACATGTCGTGCACCCTTGCGCGAGCAGGTGGCCAGCGGCTCACTGCCCACTGGCTCGACGCGGCTGCCGGTCATGCCGAGCGCTTGTGCGGGCATGGCCCTCACTCCACAGGTCATGTCGCGGCGGCCAGCCCCGCGGCTCCCGCGCCCATGATGGTCGGGTTTGAGGGCTTCAGTGCATTTTTTACGCCACGTGGCAAGATAAAATATCCACGTGGCAAGTATAGACCCGCGGTGTATCATTTTGACAAGTTTAGGTATCTAGAAATGCATTTTTCAAATTCACAGACCTAAGTGACACCCCGTGATAAAAGTTCAAGGGCCTCTCATGCATTTAACTCTAAATAAGTTGAGGGAAGAAAATCACATGAGGCTCCTTTCTCTAGCTATCGGTATGGGACTTGTTTAGTTTGTTGAGGCAATATACATAGACAGTGGCCCTAGGCTTAGATATTCTCCAGCTTCGCCTCTGCGTGGATGCAACATCGAACCAACTGGTGTCTTCGGGTCAAGACCTGTGATGATGTTGGGTCGGGTGCGGGTGTCATGTTTCACCCACGGGCCCTGAAATGTATGTTTTTCTATTTTTCCCTCCTCCAATTAGTGGTCTAAAATTAATGTTTGGTTGGTGCAAGCCTACCTAAAACTTAGGATGATTTATATGGATCATGTTGTCTATATAGTATATGACTATATTTAAGTTGTGAACTCTCAATTCATTGGTGATGATAAATCGATAGTTGTGGGTTACTTTCTTTCAAATTTTGAAGTTTGGCCCTGTTCGCTTGTCTTATGAGCCGTACCGTTTTCAACGAAGGAACAGTGTTTTTCCACTCACAACAAATCAGCGAACAGTACTTTCAGCTATGACTTGTCAACGAAGCGAACGTGGCCTTTCTTTTATGTTAGGCTCTTTTTTTATTGGGTACAACTTGGACGCAAACATATGTGCGCATTCGTACACAAGCAAAGAAGAGATTGGGAGGCTCTCCAGTCTCCAGTGCGCGGGAAACGCGCAGTACCATCGAACGCGCACACGTGCGTGTTCCCTAAATTTTCTGGAAAATTTCCAGAAAAAGGTGCGAGTCCCACTGGACTGTTTGGATCACAGGCTCATTCGCTATGTTAGGCTCTTATTAACACACATGCGGGTGACCCGAGACCCACGGTCCTATTGAGGACCGGCATAACTTAGGGTATGTACAACCCACATATGGAAGGTCATCTTTAATAAACTGATATCTGACATATAGATAAGTAAAAAGACAGATCATACAACTCAGAGATGAGGGGTTGTCTGCAAGCATTTTAATGCTTTGCATGTTGCCAAGATCAATGATGAATATCAATTTGTATACCATTGTGTTGCCGTTTGATAAAAAATGATTCAAGCATGAATATCAACTTGCTACCATATGTGCTCGAATAAACGAATAAACAAACATGCATAAACAGGCTATTCATTTTCTAAGTGCCATCTAGTTTTCAGGAAAAAATCATCACATTCAGAAACTGCATGCCATCCAATTTTCTAGAAAAAACGGCACATTCAGTTTTCTGCATTACAGAAACTGCATGCTATCTGCAATAACAACAACAACAACAACAAAGCCTTTAAGTCCCAAACAAGTTGGGGTAGGCTAGAGTTGAAACCCAGCAGAAAAGCAATCAAGGTTCAGGCACGTGAATAGTTGTCTTCCAAGCACTCCTATCTAAGGCTAAGTCTTTGGGTATATTCCATCCTTTCAAGTCTCATTTTATTGCCTCTATCCAAGTCAATTTCGGTCTTTCTCTGCCTCTCTTCATGTTACTATCTTGGCTTAGATTCCACTACGCACCGGTGCCTCTGGAGGTCTCCGTTGGACATGTCCAAACCATCTCAACCGGTGTTGGACAAGCTTTTCTTAAAACTGCATGCCATCTGCAGTTTTCAGAAATCAGCACATGCAGAAACTTAACAGCACAAAAACTTAACTAAAAGTTCAAGGACATAATGCAAGTTCACACTATTTAGATAGTTTCAGGAAGCATTACATGGGTATGTCCTCTGCAAGCTCACACATACTGCAATGACTTCAGTTCCTCTCCAAGTTCATACACACATAGTTTCAGGAAGCATTTCAGGACATACTGCAATGACTTTAGTTAGTCTCCAAGCTTTTCTAAGACTTCAGTTCCTAAAAATTGCAGATAGCAGACAATTGTTATTCACTATCTGTAACCTTTCTATAAAACCTGTTCTGTCAAGGTAGCCACTACTACATCATAGCCTCATATGTAACCTTTCTGTAAAACCTGTTCTGTAATAAATCTTGTTCCTAAAAATTGCAGATTGCAGATTGCAGATTTAGGGCCTCTTTGGCATGGCTTATGCCGGCTTCGGCTTCATCTATTTTACGTAAATCGAGGCACTGTAGTGTGAAACCGTTTTATAAGCCGGGTTAAAATGAACTAGAAGCCAGAAAAAGCCAGTTTTTCTGGCTTTACCGGCTTTGGCTTCAGCGGTGAAGCCGTTTTGGATGAGCCATGCCAAAGGGGGCTTTAATTTTCTCAGCCTCATAACCATCGAATCTTACATCCTGAATTTGCCATTTCCAAAATTGTCAGACTCAATAATTTGCCCTGAGAACAATTGAGATATTGGAGTGAACCTTTTCACCAGACAGTCATCAGACCCAAAAGGTTGCAAGCAGTGGCCAGTGGGTTTGCTTATGAAGCAGCAGTTCCTCTTTTCCAAGACGCAAGGCACGACGGACGACAGTGGTGCCATCATGCAGCCGGGGGCCTTCCCTGGGAGCAGAGATGGGCCTCATCTATGGCGCGCTGCCCGGCGTGGACGCAGACAAGCTAGGCAGGCGACCTGTAGACGACGAGCAATACATGGATGCGCTGGGGCCTGACGAGGATCGCGGCGGCGCAGCCCTGCTCCTCCTTGGCCGCCCTGACCTGGCGAGGCAGGGCACCTCCCCGGAGCCGGCCGTGCGGCGCAGGGCTCTAAGGCAGCCTACGACGGGAGCGGACACCAGCGCCGGCGCTGAACGATGGAATGCGATGACACCGGTGACATAGGGAGGTGGGGAAAGATTTGGCGCAAGATTTCTCTCAGCCGCGTATCGGAACCGCGTACGCGTGCACTGGATCCGCGCTCTCGGCTTGGGGACGCCGGCGACCCGTACAACACTGCTGGAGGCGGCGGCTCGGCCTCGGGCCCCGTCGTCTCGCGAGACGACGCAGACCCGTCTCCTAGCATCGGCGGGGTGTTTTCTGCGAAATTTACGTCGTGGAGACGGGCTCAAGAGACCCGTTGTACATGCCCTTGATATCACGGGCGTCCTTAAGGACAAGTTTTTACTCCACCCACCGTTTACCTGGCTCGTTGCCATCCCTATTCCACATGTATATCTGGCACACCGCGCGCTCCATGATGCATCGACCTTGCACTGGATCTCGCAACACCGAAATGAGATTATTAAACAACGCATGGCACAAGAATGGCTTGCCAATGTCATCATCATCAGCTAGCGCTACGACATCCAGCATGACATGCACTGCTCCCTCGTACGCCGGTTGGTCCCTGGCCACCTCACCCGTCTGTATAGATGGGCAACCGGCGACGGGCCGGCACGGCCCGATGGGTGTCGGGCCGATAAGGCACGTCATGCCCTGCGGGCCATGCCTATCAAGCAAGTGGGTCTGCCTTCGGTCCAGGCATGACACTATGTGCTTTTTTCGTGTCATATTGGCCCGTCAGGTACGTCAAAATTAGTGGGTTGTGCCAGTCCACAGCCCGGTTCACATGAAACACCTCAGAAAACTCATCTTCTCAAATATTTGAACAGTTCATCCATAGTTTCAAATTTCAATCAACATTCACACGATAACTTATCAAGTATCAACTCATAGTTCATCACAGAATGACTTAGATAACACATTACAGAATAACTTAGATAAAAAAAAGACTTAGATAACAGAAGAATAGATCACACATCACAGAATAACTTAGATAACAGAAGACTTAGATAATAAAATGAGCTGTTTTGTACAATGCTGCCTCATTAAAAACCTTTCTAGGTAAAACTCACCCTTGTGAGAAACCTTAGAAAGAGAAAAAGAGTGCAGCCAACTCATAAATTGTATTAAGTTATTACAAACCATTGTTCAAATACAAATGATACACAAGTGAGTAAGGGACAAGTCCACTCTCAACTCACACAAAAGCACAAGTCCACTCTCACCCCCAGTCACCAGCAGCAACACCACCTTCATCTTCATCAAGATATAAATTCTTGAATGCTTCTTCAAGCTCTTTGTTGTCAACAGCCGCATGTTGTTCCCTTTTTTTCTCCTAACTCCCAGTCCTTCAAGCAGGTCAACATCTCAACAGTTTCAGGTAACAAGCGTCGGCGCCGTTCTTCAATGATCCTTGCTGACAAGCTGAAACAAGATTCTAAAGAACAAGCAAACACATGAACTGATATAATATCTTTGGCCATTATAGATAGGTTAGTTTGTGGTCATGCCACCAAAGAAGTATATCAAAATCATCATCATATGAAGTGACATTGTCACTGTCTAAATAGACTAAGAGTTTAGAAGTAGCAAAGGGAGAAGAAGATGAAGTGGTGGCAGAGGAAGGACCAACAACACCTGCTCCTCCAAAGATTCTTCCCCAAGCCTTTTTTCTCTTACCTGTATGATTTGATGGCTGTGTAACCCTTTGAGACCTAACTGCATCAAACTTCCTCTCATATTTGTTAAACAATTTATATAGTTCAGTTTTCACATCAGCATAGTATGAATTGTACTGAGTACCAGTGCTTTCAGCAATTAATTGGAGAACCCTATGAAAACCTCTCATCTTAGCTCTAGGATCAAGAATGAATACATATGAGTATAAAAGAGGTATGTCGTGCCAGTATTTATGGAATTTAAGCTTCATAGTGAAAGGTCCTAATGGCTAAAGGGGGTGAATAGCCTAATAAAAAATTTCTATAACAACACTCAACAAACCGGTTAGACAATTATGAGGCGAAGCAAGTGTTGTGCTAGCCTACTTATATTGCAAGCCACCTACCATAATTCTAGTGTATATAGTTTCTATCCACATAATAGTTGTGTCACTACACTAAGCTAGTGTGCTCTCAAAGGCTAACTAAAGAGCCACACTACCAAACTAACAAGCTCTCACAACTAGCTACACTAAAGAGCTTGACAACTAGTTTACGGTAATATAAAGAGAGTGAGCAATTTGTTTATACCGTCGTGTCGAGGAAGAAGCCAATCAATCACAAGAATGAATACCAATGAAGACCAATCACCTCGGAATCAAATGATGAACACATTGATTTTTTACCGAGGTTCACTTGCTTGCTGGCAAGCTACTCCTCGTTGTGGCGATTCACTCACTTGGAGGTTCACACGCTAATTGGCATCACACGCCAAACCCTCAATAGGGTGCCGCACAACCAACACAAGATGAGAATCACAAAAGCCATGAGCAATTCACTAGAGTACCTTTTGGCTCTCCGCCGGGGAAAGGTCAAGAACCCCTCACAATCACCATGATCGGAGCCGGAGACAATCACCAACCTCCGCTCGACGATCCTCGCTGCTCAGTGCTGTCTAGGTGGCGGCAACCACCAAGAGTAACAAGCGAATCCTGCAGCGAAACACGAACACCAAGTGACTCTAGATGCAAACACTCAAGCAATGCACTTGGATTCTCTTCCAATCTCACAAAGATGATGAATCAATGATGGAGATGAGTGGGAGGGCTTTGGCTAAGCTCACAAGGTTGCTATGTCAATGCAAATGGCCAAGAGAGTGAGCTTGAGCCGGCCATGGGGCTTAAATAGAAGCCCCCATGAAATAGAGCCATTGTACCCCTTCACTGGGCACAACGCGGGGTGACTGGATGCTCCAGTCATATTAACCGGATGCTGGACCTCAGCGTCCGGTCACACGATGCGTGCCACGTGTCCTCTCTCTTCAAATGTTATTCGCTCGATCTCAACAGTCAAGTGACGAGCGGACGCAACAGCTCAAAGTGACCGGACGCTGAACCCCAGCATCCGGTCGTTTCCAGTAAGCATCCAGAGACGACTTTTCACGACCGGACATGTCTGGTCATGCTCGACCGGACACACCCAGCGTCCGGTCACACGACGACTCCCCTGTGCGCTGCGACGTCAGCAGGACCGGATGCACCCCTCCAGCGTCCGGTCACTAAGTGACCCGGCGTCTGGTCAGAGACCGACGCCAGCGTCTTTGCAGCTTCTACTGACCGGACGCGCCGGTCCAACCGAGGCCAGCGTCCGGTCACTTATAGTGACCTCCGTCTTTTCTGTCTAGGGTGCCGGTGGCACCGTCGGACTGTCCGCACTCAACGGGCGGACACTCCGTCGGTGAAGTTTCTACCCTTGCTCAAATGTGCCAACCACCAAGTGTATCACCTTGTGCACATGTGTTAACATCTTTTCGTAAACATTTTCAAGGGTGTTAGCACTCAACTAGATCCTAAATGCATATGCAATGAGTTAGAGCATCTAGTGGCACTTTGATAACCGCATTCCGATACGAGTTTCACCCATCTTAATAGTACGACTATCGATCCTAAATGTCATCACACTCTCTAAGTGTCTCGATCACTAAAACAAAATGGCTCCTACTATTTATACCTTTACCTTGAGCCTTTTCTTTTTCTTTTTCTTCTTTTCAAGTCCAAGCACTTGATCATTACCATAGTATCACCATCATCATGTCATGATCTTCATTTGCCTTATCACTTGGAATGTGCTATCTATCTCATGATCACTTGATAAACTAGGTTAGCACTTAGGGTTTCATCAATTCACCAAAACCAAACTAAAGCTTTCACATAGGATACACAATTTGTCTAAGATTCTGATATCTTTCAGCAGCATACAAATGAGATGCAATCTCCAAAACATGGTGCAGAACAAGTGGACTGGTGGGATAATAAATACCAGATAAAACAACAGTGCAGTCATAAAAGAGTTCTAGGAACTCCAATATCTTCTTAGCAACATACCAGTGATTTGGAGACAACAGTGTAGATCCATAATTTGAATTAATGAACACAGGAAAAACTTCACTATATGGAATCAAGTGTTTCAGCATAAGATAAGTAGCATTCGATCTAACATCCATATTCAAGCCAAACTTTCTAGGTCTTGAACATAGCAATTTTTTGATTAGAGGAATTCTAGAAATTAATTACAGTTCTAAAATCTTCTAGGTAAGGTTTCAACCTCTTTAGTCCGGATTTAACAATCAGATTAATTATATGACAAGTACATCGTTGATGCACAAGAGTATACTTACGTTTATTAGGATCTAAAGGCTCAGGTGAAGGATCAGAACCCAAATAACTAGCAAACATGGGTGTCAAAATTTCTATAGCCTTAGCATTAGAAGAAGCATTATCTAAAGTGATAGCAAAAATCTTATCAATCAGACTAAACTCCTCAACCACAGCAGCAACTCTTTTAGCATTGTTTTCAGAATGTTTCACTTCAATCAACCTAAGACCAATAATATTTTTCTATAACTCCCAATCAGCATTCACATAGTGAGCAACAACACTAATATAGTCCTTAGCATTATCAGACAAAATGTCTGAAGTCAAAGCAACAGATGAAGCAGCAGATAACCCAAAATTCTTAAGCACATCACGGCGTTCATTAAATAGCTTACCAAGATCTCTAGTGGTGGTCCTTCTAGAAGACTTAACAAACTTAGGGTTATGAGCACAAACAATGTAGTCCTCGAAGGCCTCTGTCTCACCTATACCTAATGGAAGGTCAAGACTAGCAATCAACCAGCACAACTCAGATCGAGCCACAGTAGGATTATAGTTCCAATTATGCACATAACCATCAGGATTAAAAGCAAGCCTAGACTGAACCCTAGCAGCATGATCAACATTTTTGCTACAAGATTTTTGGTGTCTAATCAAATGACCAGTACCAGCAGCAGATCTAGCACTCAAAACAGCCTTACACATTCTACAGATAGCAGTAGTTTGAATCTTGTTACCATTCACCTCATATATCTCCTCAAAATCATCCCAGACAAGAGACTTACGCTTACCCACAATAGAAGAGGTTGGAGTACCATTACTGTCTATGCTGTTGGTGTTGGAGGCCACCTCCGTCCCTGTCGCTGCCGCCCCTGCTTCACCACCATCCAGATCGATCGGAGCAGGGCCGCTACCGATGTCGACACCGAACAACACTACAGCAGCGTCACAGACGTCGTCGTCGTGCTCGGGGGATAGCCCTGCAGTGATCAGGTCCTCATTGCCAGTGACAGGATAGATGATATCATCATCCGCCATCGGGCCCTCGCTCGTGGATGGTAGATCTCCAGCCCTGTTCCTCAACGGTGCGCGCGGCCGCGTTGCCCGCTCTATGCCTCAGCTAGAGGACGAGGCATCGGCAACCGACCTGCAGAAAAAGGATAAGGTCAGAATTCAGAAGGATGAACAAATTAGGGTTAGGGTTACGGCTGTTACCTGGGCAACCGGAGCCTGGCGCCGGAGAAGATGAGGGCCACACAGAGGCAATGAGACAAGGAACGGATTAGCAAAGATGGCGTGCGGCGGCGAAGAGAGTGACGGGGACACAAACTCACATGGTCACCGAGAGGACAGAGGAGACAGGAGAGATAGGGAGAAGGGAGGGGATCTGGGGACTCAGGGTCAGGTGGAGGAGCGGCGGCGAGGTCACCAGAGTTGGGGACGATGGCAATGGTCGATGCCTCGACGGTCGGAGTTGGATCGAGGAGCGACGAGCGAGTGAGCGGCTGAGGGAGAGAGGTGCAGCGGGGAGGCGGAGGGCCTGCTATTGAGGAGCGGGCCATGCTGTGCTCACCCCAGGCACGTCCTGCTCCTCTCCGGGCCGGGCCTGCCCGGGCCCGCTGACCACCGGGCCGGGCCGTGCTTGGGCCGGGCAAAAAAGGGCCTTGTGCCGGGCTCAGGCATCATGCCCATATATACTTGTCTGCTCCCTCGTGCTGGCCACTTTGGCAAGGACCAGGATGACATGCATGTAGCACTGGTGCACTGCGCCCACGTATAGGACATGCATGCAGCACTCGTTTTAGTCGTGTATCACGATTCACGCCCGGATACCAACCCATCCCTCCATCTATAAATAGGAGCCATGCAGTTAGTTCGTCTCTGCATTCAAATCCAAGACATTTCTGTGTTTTGCAACAAAGCCACAGCAGCTAGACATGGCAAGCAAGGGTGTTAAGAGTGTAATCATGTGTGTGCTGATACTGGGGCTAATCCTAGAACAGGCCCAAGTAGAGAGGGCAAGAGTTGCTGCAAGAGCACTCTGGCGAGAAACTGCTACAACCTTTGCCGTCTCAAGGGCTCCCGGAAAACCTGTGCAAGTCTGTGCGGTTGTAAAATCATAGATGGCACTACATGCCCAAGTGACTATCCCAAATTCAACCTTCTTCCCCAGTCCGGTAAAGAGAAAACCCAATCTTTCCATCTTGTTTATTGTTTCCGGCGAACAAAGAGAATTTTGTGCATACTATAGCTATTTGTTGCGCAGGTGAACCGGATGCTATTCAGTACTGCAACCTGGGATGCTGGTCTTCCGTTTGTGACACCATGAACGTTGGTAAATTAATTTCCTAGATTAATTTAAATTATTTTCCGGTAAAACTAACGAAATTTGGTTCTAATTTAACACGTTCTGTATTATTTCGAACCAGTTTATATTGGCGAAGGTATGAAAATCGACATGGGACGCTGCAGCGATGAATGTGACCGTTTCTGCAACGGCAGTGCCCGTATGGCTTCCGTTGCTGAGTAATCATGCATGTTTCCTGCATGCAATTTGTTGTTAAAAGGCCATGGGCTGTAGTGCGTCACAGTGGCTGTGGATGGATTCAATAAGATACGACCGTCTCACCAGTCGTATCAAAGTCAGTATTGGGTCATCTTATTTATGTATGTGTATGCCAGTGTGTGCTCTTTTTTCTTTCTTTCTTTTGATCCAATAAAGGTTATCCCTATGGATGCCACGTTCCTACGTACCCGCATGGATGTGTGAAAATGGATTTGATTATGAGCGGTTTGCAAAACAACGGTAAAAAAGAGAATAAAAACTTAAAAAATGTTGGATGTCTGTGCTTGCGCCGTCGTCACATCCTCACCCACGCCATCCTCATCCTCGCTCATGCTGTGGTTGTCCTCGCTCATGCTGTGGTCGTCCTCGCCGTCGTAGTGGGCTAGGGATGAGAATGAGTCGAGTAAGTTGCGGGTCAAAGCTTTTACCCATCCACGAGCATACTCACAACGGTAACTTCTATCCACCTGTGAGCATACCCGCGGGTAAGATTTTGAACCTGTGCCCAGACATGACGGGTACCCGGCGGGTACTCGTCGGTGGTATTCAAGAGAAATCAAATAAAAAAATTACAGTGATATGAAAAAAATATAGTGAAACGATAGTCAAATACCACTACATGAAAAAGTCGCTGTAGGCACGCTTTCATAATAACACACATTAAAAGTGTCTCTATATAGTCATGTAAAAATGCTTTTTAATATGATTTTATGAACATCTCAACATATTACGATATTAGACACGTTTATAGTGTTAAAAGGCATCTAAAGACACTTTTTAATGATATTATATTGTAAGCATCTCAAAGTGACATGGTGCTAGACATGCTTTTAATCGTCAATAGCTTCTAGACACGTTACAAAGCGTATCATAGAATGTTCCATAGACAATGAAAGATGTTTTTTATACAGTACGACTAAATTCGTCTCAAAATAACACGAATTTAGACACGCTCTAAACCACCGGTATAATTTATACATGTTGCAAAGCGTATCAATAATCATACATAGTCACATAAACATGCTTCTTGATACGACATTGAAAACATCTCAAAGTGAAACGAAATTAGATGTGCCTTTGTCATCCATAAGTAGCATGTAGAGACATTGTAAAAAATGACAAGGAAAATAAAAATAGAGCGACCACAAAGATTCGAAGAGGCAATCTCACCCGCGCATAAATTTAAAATTGTTCAAACGAAGTCAGATGGAGAAATAATGACCAAAACAAAAGACTATGAGTTTTGCAACTTTACTGTTGATGACCTTTTCATTTGAAATCATTTAATATCCCAAAATTCTATTCGAAGTTCTCACATTTTGAAATTTAAATTTTGAATTGTTCTAACAAAGTTTGATGGAGAAATAACCAAAACAAGAGTGAATTTTTAACACGCTTATGTAATGTGGATTTTTTTACATAGTGTGAGTACATCATCATATTACAAGCACTCTGATATATAATACGTATACCTGAAAATTGTTCTTCATCAACATTGTACCCATGTGTCGGTGCAGCCAACACCCCTTACGATTACTGTGATCCACATCCAAAGAGTGCCAGCATCTTCATGTCTGGGACCTCCCCTTTCGGTGTTGCTATTGTGATTGACCTGTGAAGCAAAGATATATAGCCACTTTTCAATAATGCAAATAAAGGCCAAACATGGCGAAGACTATGCACTTAACACTGCTAACAGATCTACAGCAAAACCAAAATGATAATGGCTGATACTCTCAGAATATGTGAAGGTCTATAAGCTTCTAAATAACACACATCCATCAGTCTTGACCGTTTTGAACTGGTACTATTGAAAGTATATAGTGGAAATAATAGATTGTTTTCATTTGGTCGAGTAGCTGTAGCGTACCAAAAACATGGCCATAAGATGAGCCAGTTGCCGATGGGCTTGTCCAGACGGACGAGCAGCGCATAGGGTCTGGCCACCTCAGGGAGCCAGCGGTGCACCCAGGAAGCCTTATTTGGAGCCATTTTTGAAGAACCCGGTGCACCGGAGGAAGACAAGCATTAAAGCATGGATGATATATGGATCAGTGGGAGGAGAGGAAGAGAAGTCTAAGCAGTGGCGCCTGTAAGGTTCTTCGCAATTGCAAGAGTTGCACGTCTGGTATTGGCTGAGCCTCTGAGGCGTGAAGGAACCTATATATAGTCTTTGGGAGCTGCTAGCAGGTCGTCTGGTATCGGTTGTCAATGGCAATGACAATGCTAGTTTTTTTAAATATATAAAAATATGCTAAGATTTATCATATGTAATAAGTATTATTAAATTAATTATAAAATATATTTTATAATAAAAATAAATTTAAAATATAAGTGATACACCTAGTTGAAATTAAGATTTTTTCGAAACGGCAGTACGTTGCTGACTTTGCAGGTGCGGTCTACAGCCTGTTCGGTTGGTTCATTCGTTTCGTTGCTGGTTTGTGAAGAAGTACTGCTGACTAATTTGTGTGAGAGAAAAAAACTATTCTGGCTAAAAATTTACGATCGTTTATGACAAGCCATAGCCAAACAAACAGGCTGAGTCTGCTGTGTACTTGGAATTGGGAAATTAATCCTATAAGACACCGTCGCACGGCACCGTGTGTGACATCTTATGACTGCTCGACACATGTATCCCAACTACTTGTAGATTGTGCAGGCATTAATTTCCTGTACCTTTTGATTGACAAAGATAAAGAACAGGTCGAATTACCCTCTCAGGGGCGCTGAAAAAACTTTGGAACCACGAGCCCCATACGCGCAAGCCACGGTACCACACCCACCGACGCATCGTTCTCGTTCCCTGCGGCTACGGGGACTTTGCTCTCCTTCAGTCCTGTACAGTGAACAGAGAGACACATGATAGGCCATAGCTTGGACTTTGGACAGAGGCCGCCAGGTCCCCACAACTCTGCTAGAGCAAAGTTAATAATACAGTCGGTTGTTGGCTGGAAGAATCTCTGTAGCCTATTTCTCAGTCCAACTATATAGTAGTTAGCTCTTGATTTTTGTCTGGCTAGCAACTATCTCCTAGATATTATATTATACTCCATCCATATAGAAAAGAATATATTTTTAACATAAATTTGATTACTAGCAAACATAACTGGTGAGTTGTAATGAGACCCGATACATCTTTGAATCGTACTTCATATTGTGAATATTGGACGCGAGTTGTTCAAACTCAAATGAGCACAGATCATGAGTCGATGTCACATATATAACACATAAGGCGTAAGATCAAGATAGGGTTGTCAAATCGGATTTGAATTAGGTTTATTGACATGTGGAGAATGTACTCAAGCCCCAAGATGAGTTTCTAGAAACGACAGAACAGAAAATTCTCTTTCTTGAATATTAGGTAGGTAAGGTATATAAATATGGATTAGATTGGATGATAAATTGTTTAAGGTTTTAGTCATGATTTATTTATTAGAAAAAAAAAAGAGTTTAAAGATCTATAATACTATATTTTATTAATTATTTTTCTATTTGTATAGAAAAAATGGGAGAGAAAAAAGAGAAAAATAAAAAGGGACAACACGGATCCATAGGTATATAGATATAGATTAGATTAAATGATTTAAGATTTCAGTAACAAATTATTTAATTTTTCAAATCATTTAATTTTTCTATTTATAAGGAAAAAAGGGAGACAGAAAAGGAAAAACAAAAAAGTCACGAAACTATAGTAGGTATATTAGTATATATAGATATAGATTAGTTTGGATGAATTATTATATTATTAGAGAGGGACGCACAGATAAAAAGGGAGATTAAAAAAAGAGAAAAAAGACCCATAATACTATATTTGTTACTTATTATTTTTATTTACAAGAAAAATCTAATAAAAAAATCTAATGATACTTATTAGTTTGGAGTATTTTCATAATATACGTATTTAATATTATAAAAGGAGGGTGGGCAGCCGAGACCACAGGCATGTATGTACCGATTTTAAGGTGCCCTGGAGGTGTGTGGTTTGGAGGATCTAGGCTTTACAGGTGATATCTTCACCTGGAGAAATAAACAAACAAAGGGATCGACGCACATCCAGGAAAGATTAGACCGGGCTGTAGCTAATGGGGGATGGAGAATGACGTTTCCCTTAGTGAGTGTGAGAAATGTTGACCCGTATCACTCAGATCATAGATCGGTAGTGGTGACGACCGAGTCTTTCTAAAAAGGAGCAGGAGGGGTGGCAGGTTTAAATTTGAAGCTAGTTGGATGCAGGAAGAAGGCTGTAGGCAGGTGATCGAGGAGGCTTGGGTTTCGAATGACGAAGGAGAGAGGTGTCTGTTGGATAACATTAAGAGGAGTGTCGGCTAGCTTAAAAGATTGGAGTGTGAATGTGCTTGGGGATTTGGAGAAAAGACTAAAGAAGGCGAAGAAGGAGTTAGAAAAATGGAGAAGGGAGCCCATCAGTGATAGGTCGGTTAATAAGGAGGCAGTTTGGAGTTTAAAGTGGATAGGTTAGAGGAGCAAATAGATTTGTATTGGCGACAACGAGCCCACACAAATTGGTTGCGGTTCGGTGATCGCAATACAACTTTCTTCCACAATGCTTGTTCTAGTCAGAGAAGGAGAAATAGGATAGGGAAATTACAAAAGGAGAATGGGGACTGGGCGGTGGAAGAAGTAGAGAAGCAGGAACTTATTACTAACTATTTTCTGCAGCTTTTCAGCACTAGTGTGGCACCAGGCGAGGAGCAGCTCCGGCAGCTTCTTGATGCTGTCTCGCCTAGTGTTACACCACCGGAGATGAATGATCTTCTCTTGGGTGAGTTCACCCCGGAAGAAGTCAAAACCGCACTTGATGCTATTGGTGATCTAAAGGCGCCAGGGCCGGATGGTATGCCGGCTGTCTTTTTCAAGAAATACTTGGACATCGTCGGAGACCAGTTAACAAAGGAGGTTATTGATGTGCTGAATGGTGGCCAGATGCCTGATGGCTGGAATGATACTATCATCTCTCTAATTCCCAAGGTGGACAAACCTGAGAAGGTGACTGGTCTAAGACCCATAAGTTTATGCAATGTGATTTATAAGGTGGTGTCCAAAGTAATGTCAAATAGACTTAGACAAGTGCTCCCTGATATCATCATTCCAAATCAGAGTGCCTTTGTTCCAGGAAGATTGATTTCAGATAACATACTCATAGCCTATGAACTGACCCACTTTCTGCTGAACAAAAGAGAGGGAAATATGGGTTATGCAGCCATCAAATTAGACATGAGCAAGGCTTATGACAGGGTGGAGTGGTGTTTCCTAGCACAAATGATGAAGAAAATGGCTTTTTGCTGATCAATGGATTAATCTGATCATGAAGTGTGTTTCTACAGTGAGGTATCAAGTTAAAGTGAATGGTGATTTATCTGAGCATTTTGTTCCTCAGAGAGGGCTGCGTCAAGGTGATCCTCTTTCCCCCTACCTATTTCTTCTGTGTGCGGAGGCTTTTTATGCACTTCTAAAGAAAGGGGAGCGGGAGGGTCTTCTGGCACTGTTTGCCGATGACTCTTTCATTACTACAGATTTAGACATCACTGCCGGCCTCATCACTGTCGGATTCATGAGAACCGGCAGTGATGTACGCTTCCGAGCTTGAAAACGAGAAAATAATTGAGGCTGAGCTAAAACCGACACTGAAGGACCACATCACTGTCGGTTATTAATTCAAACCGGCAGTAATATCTATTTACTGTCGGTTGAATTACGGAACCGGCACTGATGCATACTCCTGGACCCAAAAATTTTATTCATCCCCGTTAACTCCGCACGCCTCCCAACTCTATCTGCCGCTCCAACTCCCCCTCCCAACACCACGCCTCCTCACACCACACCACGGCAACACCACGCCTCCACTCCACACCACGCCTCCACACCACACTGCGCGGTCGTGCGGGGACCGGTGCGAGCACAGCCACCGCCGGAGTTGACGTAGAGATGGAGGGGGAGGAGCGCCGCCATGGGGAGGCCAGATCTGGCCTCCACGCCGCCGCCGGAGTAGGGGGAGGAGCGCTGCCGTGGGGAGGCTGGATCCGACCTCCACGCCACCGGATACGGCCTCCACGCCGCTACCGGAGTTGGAGTCCACGCCGCTGCCGGAGTTGAAGGGGGAGGAGCGCCGCCGTGGGGAGAGGGCCACCGCCGCCGCTCGCCTGCGCCCGGATCTGGGGGTGAGGGCGAGGAGGAGCCCGGATCCGGCCTCCTCGCCCGCATCGCCTGAGGGAGAGAGGGAGGGGAGGAGGGGCGCGCCCACCGAAGGAGGAGGAGGCAACCGCGCGCTCCCGCCGAAGAAGGAGGAGGCAGCCGCACTGTGTCTCCACACTGTGTCTCTCCACACGATAATGTTGTGTGAATCAATTTGCTCCCTTTTTTGTGATGTAAGAATCGATTTATGGATGGGTTGATTTGTGATGTGTTGAATCCTTCTCCTTCGTCTACGATGCACGAATCGATTTGTGGATGAGTTTTTCTGATGTGTTGAATCCGTTCTTTATCTGTGATGTATGAATTTTTTTCTTGGATGAAATGCTTGATGCAGTGACGGCGGTAGCCAGCGAGCATGGTGGCGGCAACGGCGGTAACGAGCATGCTCCAGCTAGCATGCTTGTTGGATTGCTTTTTTTTTTTTCTAAATCTTATCACTGCCGGGTGAAGCACCGGCAGCAGTAGCCAGCGAGCATCACTGCCGACATGCCATTGCCGGTTCAAAATCCGGAAGTGAAGACGGATTTTGAACCGGCAGTGATGTCGATAACTGGGGTAGTGTTTGATCCTGATTCAAGCAACCCAAGGGGATTGTGGGCAGCTTCAGACGATTCTTCAACTATATGAGGACTGTTCGGGACAAATGATCAACAAAGCGGCTATCTTATTTAGTCGGAACACAAAGGCAAACCAGAAGAAAACAGTATGTGATCTGTTGCAAGTCACAAAAGAGACTATGAGTGAAAGGTACTTGGGGCTGCCGGTCCATGTGGGGCAAT